AAACATGATGAGCAAATAAAGACGAGTCCTCAATATTTAATTCTTTGTTAGAGTTTGTTTATAAAGCTGGAGTCAATGATTGTGCCATTTTTATATTAGGAGGCAACAAGGTGACCTCAAAATTTATATTAAGAAAAAACACTTAACAGCCTACATACATGAAAGCATAATTTATGGAGTTAGTCCTTTTCAAGGAAAAATTGAAACCCAACAGAAAATTAATCAAGAAAGTGGAAAGTCATGTGGACAGTCTCATGGTGTCCTCTTGATTTCAATATTTTTTGAAGTTTAAATTGGAGGCATACCAAGAATTTGAACTTACAAGTCTGTCTACTGCATCTTTGGACACCTCAACAATGACCTTTTCTCCTTAACTTACTCACATTAACTAATTTAAAGTGACTTTACATAGTATATCGTTTATATGATATCAAATTACATTTTCTTGCTGCATTGACATTGTGGTATCAATTAATATGATCGCTTAAAATTCTTTGTTTGTTGAATATGAAAGGATTGGGAAGACTTGATAAAGGTGATACACTTTGGAATTGTGCTATAATTGCTATATTTTTTGGTTATTTGGAAAGAACGGAATGCAAGAATTTTTTAAGACCGAAGTGAATGTGAAGAAGGAATGTGGAATCGTATTCATTTCTTAACATCTTTTTGTGCCTCGGATTCAAAAGAGTTCAATGAAATTTCTCTTTCTGCTATTTTTATCTGGATGAAAAGGTTCATGTAATCTATAGGTTTTTTATTAATTGCTTTGATTTGATTGCGTTTAGTTGGATATTTTATCCAATTTGTTCTTATGTAATTTACATCTTATACTGCTTTGTAAAATTCAAGTAGATTTTTCTGCTTTCTAAGTGAAATAAACATAATTTTGACAAGTCATATTTTCCATGTGAAATCCAACAATGGAAATGATTGCCAATACCCTAATGCTTATTGATATTTCCTCCTATACAAGACCATTTTTATCCTGAAGCAATTTTCTGGCAATCCAGCATTCTTATTCTTTGTCATTGTGCTGCATTCAAATTGTGTAATATTAAGCTCAACACATGTGGACAAGCTGTGACACACTAATTAACAAGTTTCTTAGAGAAATTTTGATTAACCTCTCCATGATTAAGGAAATATGTTGAGAATAAAATCAAATGCTTTATTGTGACTAAAACCAAAAAAAAAAGAAAGAAAATATTGCCGGCATTGAATTGTAATGAAAGTATACGAGAGGTGGTTGCATAAGAGCCAGGGGACTAGAATTTCTACGTGACCTTAGAACATTTCATCATCCTATTGCAAATTTAAAATGTGTTGCATAGATTGGGGCAAAGAATATTCTTGAGCATCCTTAGTTTTCTAGGGTTCAGACATTCACAACAGATCAAGTGATTATGTCCTTTGGGCCTGAAGATTTCATCATCAACCACTGTTCCCTTTCTTCTTTATAAAACTGGAACTTAAAATATGGGCTTAAGTATAAAAATCCAACTAGTTATTGTACCCAAGGATCGTCATCCGCGTGAATTGGTGTTTTAACCAATTTGATTTAGTTTAATGTGATTAATTGGAACATGTTGTGCCCTATCATGTCCTTCTATGATCAGATTATTAAAATAGGAACCTTTGGCAGATAATGAAGTGTGAACCAACTAGGCATCCTGCTATACTTATGTAGGATTTCAACTTTTCTACAATCCTCAACTTCATCTTTTAAATATATTGTCGGGTGTCTTGTTGAGAGATGAATTGTAATGTTTGCTTTGAATATGAAATTTCTACCTATATATGTAGCACAAAGTTCATTAAAATTTATTGAAAGAAGAATGTTCAAATTTATAGAACCCACATCACGATTGTCAAAGATGAAAGATATGAGATACTTGACACCACTCCAGTGCTCATTGGCATTACTATATATTCAAGAGGCCTGTTGATCTTGAAACAACTTTTGGGCACTTCAGCATTGTTACTCTTTGTTATTGTGCCGCATGCAACTTATGTAATATTTGACATCGACGTAAAAGAGAATTTATCTCCAATGTGTGGTCATAAAAAGGTTAAAAAGTAGGATCACAACAAAATCACATTTGCCTCTAAAGTAAAAGAATGCATTTTAATTCTCATCAGCTTTGGCAGAGGATGCATACATGCTATGCTTTACAATGAAACTTGTATAGTTGCATTGCTCTCAAGACATGAGGAGTATTAGCAGCTCATTGTTTGGTAAATGTAAATAAGAGACAATTAAATCTGAAACGATGCTATGTAGCTTGTCTTTTCTTTTGTATGGACAGAAACAAGCTCTGACACACTAATTAACAAGCTTCTTACAGAAATTTTGATAAACCCTTCAATGAATAAGCCATTTAGGTATACTCACTTCAGCATTTCTAATTGGGGTGTTCCCCAATTTTTTTTTTTATCAATCTTTTTATCCAAGGAATATTGTACAACAAAATCATACGCTTTCATGGCAACAAAAGAACATAAAATAGGAAAATTGCATGTTTTCAAAATGCCACTAAATTGGAAAGAAAATTATACAAGAGGTTGTTGGGTGAGAGACAGGGGACTAGAGTTTTGTATGTAAGCTCAATACACTTCATCATCGCATAGCAAATTTAAAATGTGTCGCATACATTGGGGCAAAGAATATTCTGAGAGTTCTTAGTTCTCTAGGGTTTAGATATTCACAACTTCAAGTGCAGATTGGGCATTCACATATTATCTTTTTATGCGTTAGGACTGAAGATTTCGTCATCAACCACTGTTTCCTTTCTTCTTTAAAAACTGGAACTTAAAACTATTGGCTTAAGTACAAAAATCTAACTGGTTACTACGACCAAAGATCGTCATCCAAGTGTCCTCAATGTAGCATATTCTTCATGTATCATATAGAACTCAATCCTAATTGGTGGTTTGATCACTTTGATTTACTTTAATGCAGCTAATTGGCACTGGCTGTGTCCAGTCCTGTCTTGTCCTTGTATGATCAGATTATAAAAATAGATATCTTTGGCAGAGAATGAACAGTGACCCAAATGAGCATCCTCCTCCTTATATAGGACTTCAATTTTTCTACAATCCTGAGCATTATTTTCAGATTTTGGAAGCATTTCCACTCCTTTATCACAATTAAACGAGTTGGACTTGCATTAAGTTCATGCTATATTTCTTTGTGAGGTATTGATTCAACTTTTAGACGGTCTAGGTCCTTGAATTTTGGAGACTTGTTGAAAAATAATGCTATCAATGGCTTTCTATTTGCATACATATGACATAAAATCCATAACAACTTCCTGAAAGAAGAATATTCAAATCAAAATGTTAAAATAATCTCAGCACCCACAGAGGGGTGAAGAGAAGGCCAAATGCATGGCACAGTAGGATCCCCAAAGAGGGGAAAATAAAAAATCAATCTTTGCCTTTGGCAAGTATTGATCTCTTGACCTCTTGGTTGGCAAGATCTCAAGAGAATCAACAGTGGCCAACTCGGCTAAGCCCAGCTTGTTATATCCTGCTCCATTTGGAAGTCACAATCAACTGAGGCAAACCTTTATTATCTTCCATTACCAAACAGCTACTCCATGCCTGTCGCGTAAGCATGACATCTACATCATTAAACCAAGTCAGCTAATCCCTGGATATAGCAGCATAATGGCATCTATTTCATTGCTCATAGTAATGTCTGAGGGACTTTTCAAATCCGTCTGCATAGGTTCTACAGTTATGAACAAGTTGTTTATGGGAAAGGGTATCAGACAAATTTTGAAATGTATCTGCATTGAAATATCCTGATACCTTTTCTGACCTCCAAATGGAAAAACAGGTGGTAGTGATCCTCAAGTGCATCTCTAAATGCAACAGCTTTATATGCCATTGTAGCAATTTTGAGCTCTATCCTTAGTATGAGTTTTATTCTAATGGAAAGCCATAAACCACAGCTCCATCTTGCCATGGCTTTACCAAACCAAACCATACTATTGGGGTAGATATTAAAATGTTTTCCCTTGGTGTATTTTCAATTTTGGCAAAGCTGTTGTCACTTACATATTGGGCCAACACCACTGCAGTACTATATTTATTAGCTACTTTTTTATCTTGATTTCTTAATTAATCGTTTCTATAAACCAATTTGCCCTTCAACCTATATGTATGTCTTGGTATGCAATTCGTTTTGGTTGATACCATCTTAATGTTTTAAACAGTTTGTGGGTTAGCTTTGATATTTTCTTATATAGAACTAGCTTTGTGGCCAAGTAGATACAAGAAAGGAAGTGATGACATTGCCAAAACCTGAATTCAATAAATTGTATTGATCTTCCTTTACGTAGCTTATAAAAATGACAATTTTATCACAGATTTTGATTCTCAACTCTAGATGTTTTTCAGATTTGCTTCAATGAAAGAAGAGAGATCGTATATTGCATTTCTCTTTTCATTAGTAAGCAAATTCTCTGTTGCTTATATGAATAATTAACTCTCTGTATCCAACAAGGGAGAGGATCATGCGCTATACTTTTGCAAAATGTAATCCAAGGTAATGTTATTGCAAAGACTAGTTTCTTCAATTGTCAAGAAACCCTGAGGTGTTAGGTATATACTACTTGTTTAGTGGATTGCTGTCATGGAATAAAAGTCCAAAATGTTGCACAAAGAACAAAAATAGTCTGAGAAGTAGGCCTGTTGTTTTCTGACACATCACAATTAGCATGAGATGCTGCTGTGGTTGAAAGTACAAATAGCATTCTAGAAAGTAGCCCAATTATTTTCTGACACATCCCAATTAATTATGAGAGATTCGGCACTTTTGGCAGGAAGAAGCTAATTATAATATTAATGGTCTTAAGTTTGAAGTTTCAACCAGGGCGGGCTACAATGGTATTTCCTTACCACATTTAGTATATAAGGATTGTTCCTCTGCCCCAAACTTGGAGCATTATATACCTAAGGCATTAGGTATTCAATTTTATTCTGTTAGTATAATGGAGTTTGAAGAGATCCATTATGATATTGAGTCGAGCTACATTGACCTACTTCCTGAATGTAGCTTGGAAACTATATTTTGTTTCCAAAATGATGAACCACTTTCCTCAAGCACCCTTGAAGATGTAATTTCCAATGAGGTTGACATTGAAAGATTGCTCCAGATAGAGGGAGATCTCATGGACTTCGATTTCATTGATCAAGAGACCATAATGGGTATTGAAGATGTGGATGAAACTGTATTGGATCATGAAGTGAATCAAGATGTCCAAGAAAATGTGGACTTCCCAACAGATGAGAATTCCCATGTGAAGATGATTCAAGATGAACCATTGGAAGAGAGCTGCTTAACTGATCTCCTAGTGATAGGAGCTGAAGCTGTTGAAGCAGAAAATTGGCCTTTCGTTTCAATTGTGATAGCAAGGCTTACAAATCTCCTTTCTGATAGAGAAAATGGGGATCAACCACTAAGGAGGTTAGCTTCGTTCTTTACACAGGGCCTCCATTACAAGAGCATCAGTGCTCCTGAAATGCTGCTGGAGTCTGTTTCTCAACAGACCAGCAGTATGTCTGCCTTTCAAATTCTCCAAGAGCTTTCCCCATACGTGAAATTTGCTCATTTTACAGCCAATCAAGCAATCCTCGAGGCAACACAAGGAGATCAGGAGGTTCATGTCATTGACTTCGACATTATGGAGGGTATTCAATGGCCTCCACTGATGGTTGATCTTGCAAAGAGAAAGGACACTTCCTTAAGAATAACAGCAATCATTGGTGACAGTATAAATTCAGGTATGATTCAACAGACAGGAAGAAGACTAAAAGAGTTTGCAGATTCGATAAATCTTCTGTTCGTGTTTGACCAGATGGTCATGGCGGAAGAAGAAGATTTCAAAAGTATAGAGGTGGGTCATACACTGATTGTCAATTGTATGATCCACCAGCTCCACATGCCCCACAGAAGCTCCTCACTGGTGAAGACTTTTTTGGGTGGTGTAAGCAAGTTGTCACCAAAGACTGTTGTTTTAGTGGAAGAAGAATTATTCAATTTCTCTAAAATCCCATCAATGTCCTTTGTGGAGTTCTTTTGTGAGGCCCTCCACCATTACACTGCACTTTCCGATTCACTTGTGAGTGGTCTTTCTGGAGGATACAAATTAGCATTCAGAATAATAGAGAAAGAGTTTCTCGGTAGGAGAATTTTAGACAGTGTGAGACAGTTTCCATGTGAAAAAAGTGAAAGAAAAATGTGGGAAGATGGTTTTTCTCCACTGAAAGAGTTTAGGCCAATTCCCATGAGTTCATGTAATGTTTCTCAAGCAAAGTTCTTGGTCAGTCTGTTTAGTGGAGAGTATTGGGTGCAACATGAGCACTGCAGATTGTCCTTGTGTTGGAAGTCAAGACCCCTGACAACAGCTTCCATTTGGGTTCCTATATCAAGTCCAAGGCCTGCAAGGTCAACTCTTTTTTAATTGTTACTTCTCTGTTTTTGAACTCTGTAAGGCTGGAGGCAAGTGTGATGGCTTCCCTGTATATGATTACATTGTTTTAGATTGGGACTTGAAGAGTTGTATATAATTAAATTTACTTACCAAAAAAATATAAAGTTTATTAGTCTATGACATCTTCCATGCAAGTGGGCCCTTGGTTTGCAACTTGCAACAAAATGAAAAATAGAACTAGTAAAAGATTTCTGCTTCTTCAGTAAGTTATTGACAAAGAATCTTAATTTGAGTAACTTCTGTAATGTCCAATGGTTATTATTGAGTAAAGACAAGATTAATATGATTGGTTTCTTTATATGGTTAAACAATTTAGTCTTTTGCTGTCGTAGGCAGAAGTATATGTTAATCATATAATGTCTCCTGACCCCAGGTAGCGTTCTTCTTCTTTTATTGATTTTCAAGCAATACACAAAACATTCAAGAGGACTTCTAGTTTTTCCACTTTAAATTATTGGCAGTGAGAATAGGTCGTTTGGGGGAATCAACAAAACAGGTTGCTTGGAAATAAACCTATTCTAATTTCCTAATAGTTATAGGTCAAATTAAGGAAACTTTTCGTATGAAAGTTCTTTGTTTGTGTAAAATTTTGTGAATGAACGACCGTGCTTTTACTTGATTTTCCTTTCATATGGGAAAACTGATTAGATTCAAGGTTTACATATCAAAAACATGGAATAAGCTAACAATATGAAAATATGTAGTACACTGCATGCTCCAAAAATGATTATATGCCAATACATTGGGAATCCTCCCTCCAAGTTTCTCTCTTATGGTTCAAAGCACAAAGCAAACACATTCAGTAGAAGTACTTCAAAACTTTCTAACCCTCTACATCATGGAAAATAGGGAGCAGGCATACAATAAGATGATCCACAATAAAATGTGAAGTTTTAGAGTATTATGGGAATGTAAAAGAACTAAGCAAAGTTGCTGCTTTTTTAAAATGATGTTATGCTTAACTTGCTTGATCTCATTCCCAGTTCTGATAAACATATTCAAGCTTACTGTGCCATAAGCTAGCTCTGGTTTGTCATGACTTTGCTAGCTTGACAGCATGGCCCTACATGAAGATTGGTTCCAAGATCATAGTTGAAATTCGATTTTTGTTCTGTGTAAAAATACATACATTTATTACATAATTGATTAAAAAGTTGCTGAAAAAAAGCTATGGTAACGACCGCTGACTGTGAATGCCCCCATTATAATCTTATGTGGCGGTTTGATGAATAAATCTCTCATCTTGGAAAAACCAGAAGGCATTTAGTTGAATAGAAAACATCTTAACTATTAGGCTACTATTCTGTATTGCGGCAAAGCTGAAAAAGAAAGCCAAAGCTATAATAAAGTTTTCAATTAATCAGCTGAATAAAGGAAGGGCAAACAGTTTTTTTTTTTTTTTGGGATTCTTCATTGCCACAATCTGTTGTTGTGTAAGAAATATCAGAGACTGCTCATACAGCTATACCAGAAACAAATTGCATATCAAGACACAAAAAATGGTGATTTCACACTACATCACAGGTTGCAAATGGAATCTGGGGCTAGGGTTCTTGGACAATTTTTTCTATCTAAAACAAAAACCAAAAAATAAAGAGAAAAGAATAAGTGAAAAATGTAGTCTGCAGTGGGGTTGGCCCCATATGGTAGTGACAACAGTTTAGTTAAATTCAAATTACACTAAGGGAGAGCATTTTAATACCTATACTAATAGTAAGGCTTGATTCTTGTCAACTGGCTAATTCATTTTTTGCCGTGTCAAGACAATAACAGTGTTTCATAAGCTTTTTGTAGTAACATTGTATCTGTCAGGTAAACTTTTACTATATCAAACCAATCTATATCAGCACTGTCAACAAGAAGGATAGTGATGTTGAGCCTGATATGAACAGTAATGTTATTTCTGATTCCAGACTGGGGGACTAATATAGTGCAGTGTACTGGTTTGTTAGTAAAATCTTCAGTCTCAACATAAAGAAAGGTGAGTACAGAAGTCCCATTCAGCGCAGCCAATTCTCTTTATGATGGTTTTTAACGTTTCAATTTGAACATTTAGTAGATTCTCCACCATGGAAAATTTCAACCAGGCATAAGACAAGATGGTCCATCAATAAAATGCCAAGTTTTGAGAATAATGGTAATGCAGTCAACAAGAAATGAGCAAAGCTGGAAATGCTAATACTATATTGGGATGATTAAGTTCAGCTTTCTGAAATGATATGTTATGCTTAACTTGCTTGAACTCCTTAATTTCTAGGTTGATGAACATCCAAGTTTCCTGCGCCCTAAGCTAGCACAGGTTTGCCTTGACTTTGCTACCTTGACAATATGGTCTGATATTAAGCTTGGTTTCAAGATCATAGTTCAAATCCGATTTTGGTTTTTTGAAAAAAATACAGACATGACTTAGACTTAAAAATTAATTGCTTTTTATGGTATCAGTAAACCTGGTGTGCTGGATGAGTTTTAGTTCATCAGAAATGTTTTGAATATACTTGTCTATGAATGCCCCAATTAACATCATATGTTGGATATCTGATAAGGGATTTTTTTTTTTAGGTGTTGGATTCAGAAAAATGTTGGGACCTTAACTTGACCTGATTATGAACGAATAGAAAACTATGTAGTATCATGAAGGTCTGCTTTCATTGAGGCAAATATGAAGAAAAAAAAAGTTAAAAGAGTCTAGAAGCAAAAATAGTGCCTGCAATATAATTTCAATTAATCCGCTAAATAAAGGAAGGGGAAACATTTTTTTTTAATTCAGGATTTGGTAATTGCATCAATTCCTTTCTTACCCTTCATCGCAACAATCTACTGTTATATAAGATATATCAGAGATAATTGATGTACAACGATTCAGAACCCCAAAAGTGGTAAGTGCAACCAGAAATAAATACATTGTTGATTTCACATTACATCACAGGTTGCAAATGGAATCTGGTGGAGTGGTTCTCGGACAATTTTCTAACTACAATAAAAATGAAAAAAATAAAGAGAGAAAAAAAAGTAAAAAATGCAGTTCTACATTGGATTGGCCCCATCTGGTAGTGACAGCAGTTTCGTCAAACACAATTTACACTAAGGCAAAGCATTTAAATACCTTTATCAATACAAAGGCTTGATTCTAGTAAACTGGTTAATTCATTATGCCTGCCGTGCCAAGACAATACCAGTGCCACTGATGAAACATCATGAACCTTTAGTACAGGTCATGGTAAACTCTTACATTCCAAGTTCATGCATTAAGCTAGCAGACCAATCTATTTCAGCAATGTCAATTATGAAGGATAATGATGTTCAGCATGATTTGAACAGTACTGCCACTTCTGATTCCAAACTCAGGGATTAATTCAGTGTAGTGCATTTGTTTGTCAGCAAAACCAAACCAAGTCAACATGAGGAAAGGTGAGTAGACAAGTTCCATTTCGAAATCTCATTTGAGTCAATGATTTTTTTTAAGGTTTTGATTTGAACATTCTTGTTTCAAGATGTTTTTCATAAATTCAGTGTTATTCAAAATTGAAAGTTAATGATAACATTTCCTAAGTCTGTTTTTATGTGATAAATCAGAGTCAAACGTGATAAGAGTACAACCAGATTTTAGGGAAATTATCAAGCATTCCCTAAGATATTGACATAATTTTAAAAGGAAACAAACAAAGGAAAAAAAATAAAAATGACAAATAAAGGCTAGATAACAAAATAGGAAGAAGGACACAGCTTAGATTTAGATCCTAATAAATGGCTCAAGGCAGCTTTTTTTTTTTTTCTGATATAAAAGCATATCTTGTAAAACCAAAGCAATTATTGCTTTAGGTGCTTAACTGCTTCAGTACTCAATGTTTGTATCTATTTGGGCTCTGTATTTCATTTTTCTCATGGGTTTGAGTCTTAAACGGTTTCAAGCTTCAGGGTTTCATATTTGTGCTAAATAGCTCAACTGCTTGAGAACATTCTTTCAGAGTACTTCTGTTGGATTTTTTTTTTCTTTTTTCACTTGGCATTTATTTTTTTCCCATGTTTGCTTAATCTCTTCAAGCTTAATCAAATGCATTGCAGCATGCATACACACACACACACACACACACATATACATATATATAATTAAATATATTATATATTTACCAAAACATATATAGATCACTTTTTCCAAATTTAGTAAAACATGCTTTATGAAAAAGTGCTACCACACAGGACATTAGATATTATGTTGCACAAATATGGAACAAATATGCAGAATAGTAATCAAACATTTTTGTTGATTTTTTTTTGAAGATTTTATTTTCCTTACAATTAAAGTACTCTAAAAGATGTTATGAAACAGTATAAGGTTTTTGCAGATCTATGAAATGTTCTGAACAGCATTATGAATTGGTACAGAATCATAGAGACTTCAAAGCCTCTAAATATTATTGCCGTTTGCCAGATGATAAGCCATTCACATTGAAGCAAAATTCAGTTATACTTTTGGTCCTTCTGTCCCTTTAGACATGCTTAAGTTATTTTTTGGGATACGCTTAAAGTATGTACACAATTTTTATTTGGTCCCTAAAGTTTCAATTGATACAATTACATTCTTAAAGTTTTAACCAAGTTTCAAACAAATCCTTTCATTCAAATCTATGAATTGGTTCCAATAGAAATGTATCATAGGAGTTGCCCATAAGGGTATGTATTTGTCCAGCAAAAAATATTTCTCTTAAATACATTGGTATTTCTCTATTTGTCACACAATATCACTCAAATTTCTCACTCAATATCCTTTTTTTTGTTTGTCATCTTTTTTTTTCTCAGAATAAGATGAAATAAAGAAATATTTTTTAGCCTAGAAGTAATAGATTTTTCACCTAACAAATATATCCCTTTACCCAGGTCATGTGTTGGTCATAGAAAACCATTTCGTCATAATAAATTATAAATTTTGATGTGAGAATTAAATTAAAATTCTAAAGACTTGATTGTTATAA